ATGTTGCTTCTTCACGCCTCTTCTAAAGGATCCCAGGTTGTAAGAGGGAGGGAACACGTGAGCGGGCAGAGCATTCCATTTACGGATAGTGCGACTAAGAAATGAGTCACAAAACGCGTTGGAATTGTGGCCACAGTTAAACAGTGACAACGTAGGCCAGCGCGCGTAAGTAAGTGTTATGTAAGAAAGCAGTCGCAGTTGTTCTGTAATATTTTTTATTTTTAAGACAATCACTTCATTGAATTAATACACTAGAATTATGATTTAAATAATTAATTTCAAGTGTTGCCTTATGTAAAGGCTGTCACAACATGCATGAATGGACGCGTAAGATAATTTATTTATTTAAAGCATTTTTTTATATAAATGTTCAAACAATGAAACTCATGATGGTTCGGTCTATTCGCTATCATTGTCAGAGGGGTGACAATGTATTCCACTAAGCTTGAGAACGGTTGTGTCTCTAGTGAGCACTGTAACTTTGCAGCCACTCTTTCTCTTCCGGCGGCATACCCAATGAATACACTTCCCGTCGTTCCATACTTTATTCTTAATGAACATGTTGTTTTCTAAGAAGAGTTTCACTCCGCCTCGCGGTGTCGGTATTAATACTGCCTCTGTAAACAAAACACAGCAATGTAACTTCAATTTTCTGTAATTAGTAAAAAATGTTTACACGATACATTGCCTGACTTCAGTTTTAGAGTAAGTGTAGGATTTGTTCAACATTGTGTAAACAGAGGTAATTATATTAAGAGTAATAACACAAAACAGCGGTAAATGAAGCAAACGATGCTCAGCAATCTTTGCGCGATAGAATCAGAAATTAAGAAACGCGCCGTAGTACGAAAGTTACCGATATCGCTCGAAGGATTGCTGAGCTAAAGTGGCAGTAGGACACACGGGTAGGACGTTGAGGCACAAAGGTTCGCAAATAACACGACGATCCGTAGAACGAGACGAACTGAGAATGGTCGCAGGATATGTGATAGCAATGTTTCTGGAACAGCAACAACACTATTCACAGTAATCAACCATGAAGTAAACCAAAACGAAGTTATAATTTCTTTCTATCATTATAATTTTGTTTTGATTAAATTCATGAATAAAACAAATATTTCAACACTCCATGAGCAGTCAATTTATTATGAAATTACACACGCATACAATCGCACTCTTATTGATTCAACATTGAAAAAAGTAACCTTTCTTTTTCAATTGAGGTTTCGTAAACCTAAAAATTTATACTCTGTATATTGTCAAATTCTTAAAACATAAACCATTTCATATAGTATGCTGAGATTAAATCAGTTTCCGTTGTGAATGATGTGAAGACTTCTTCAAATCAATACGACAATCAGTGATTATTAATGTGCAAAAGCTTATGGTAAGGTCAATAAATAAATAATAAGTTAAAATAGGTAAGCATATTTTCCAATAGTGACTGAATAGTTAATATATTATGAAAGTAATACATAATGTATTACTTTCATTAACAATATTTTATCTTATTTTCAGTTTTCGGGGTATAATATTTTTAGCGAGCAACCGCACCAGTCTAATCTAAAGATAAGAAATATACCGTTCCATATTAAAAGGACACGTAAAGTAGTTATTCCTAAAGATACATAAACGAGTGAAAAATGATGGCTCAACACACGGTCTTACTACAAGAAAGTAAGATACTGTTTTAAACCATGTTTAGGCAATTTTCTTAAAGGGAAAGAGGTCGGTCGGGGAGCCGCCATCGCTGTGTGGAGATAATTACGATAACAAACTATTTTACGCGAAAATATATATAGTTTAAGAACAGAAGAAGAGATTTTTTTTGATTATTCTAGTTTGAGCGAGCATATTTTCATTTGATGAGCTTTTAAGTTTAAATCTCGGGTGTAGTAAGTTTAATTCCACACAGCGCCGGTGTCTTATGCGCAGAGCGGAACTAAATGACGTCACAAAGTGTGATGTAACTAATATAGCAGGAATGCGCGATGCGAATCAGCAGTGCGATTCTGTTATTTTCGACATGCTGATCGGAAGTTATTGCAATTATGTGTGGGAGCCCATAAGGAGCCACAGATAAACTTCTCTTTTGTTTCCTAAATATAAGACTGTAATGTTTAGCGGGAGTTTGAAAATAGATGTAACCAAAATATGGAATTATCTGAGCCTCTATGGCACTCACTCACTCACTTTCTTATGAAAACCCAATTGGACCGACAATAAACTGAGACTCCCAACATAAAATGAACTTTTATTTTGCACACCATCATAATTATATACAGATACAAACACTCAAAAAGCAGCAGTCTGTCTAGCCTTACAAGAAACCATACATATGTTTTCCCCTTTTATCCATCTTTCATCCCAAGTGCCTGTCTGAAAATCAGCGCTGGGCGTCGTAGCTTATCACTATGCTAAAACTGGTACACATTGCGTACATTCCACAATTTTATATGATAAAAACATCTACTAATTATGTTTACCTTTTCGTTAAATAATTTTTACTTAATCTTTTTTTGTTTGTAAATTTAAGCAATATAGATTTTTATTATTATAAATGATTGATTAAAACCTAAGATTTGTAATAAATAAATGCTAATATAGGTACAATTGTGTATACAAAGTTCAATAGGATAATAACGAATAATTTTCCTTTAAATATTTTGTTATAGACAAGTTTATACTTTTAAAGGAAAACAGTCACACGCTCTTATAATCTTAAGAGTGATTGTGGCAATTCCTGATTTCGACAACTTCATCGAGTAAGGTGACTAGTTGGGCATTACATGACCACCTTCTCCTCTTCACGCATCTCCAGGTGACCCTCTGACCGTTTCTGTCCGTCCTCTGATTGTACCGATGACCGCCAAGCTCGATCACTCGCTTCCCAAATATAGACTTGCCGAAGATGGGTTTTAATTCTGGAACATACCATAATGTTAGTATCTATGTAATACTAATTTAAATCCTTTTATAAAAACTAATAAAATATATAGAACCACTAAGTCTTGGAGTCAGAGACGTAAAAAATAGTTAAGCTATAAACTGCTTGACACTTGCATCCAAACGTATTACATTAATAGCTAATGGAAATGAACATAGCATTAAGTTACCTGTATTTATTATTGCTAGTCTTATAATATACATTTCATACAAAAAATACAAAAATCGAAGTAACATAATATAATCATCTCATTTCTTAATTAATTTATCAAATAACAAAACTTTTTAAACGGGTTTTAACTGTGCTCATGATCATTATCATACACAGCATTATATATAGCATATATATTATTCATATGAATTTGAGATGGGTAATATAGACCTAATTAATCGATTATTTTAAAAATATGAGATATCAAATCAAACAAGTCTATTGTTTATGACAACTGTAGATTACAGTGGTTATAGAATATATAGGTATACAAAAATATTATAACCAAATGATCGCTACTCAGTAAACGCTGCAACATTAGGTCACAGCACTGATCATCCGTAGCACCAGTATGCGTCAGTGACACTAGAAGACAAGATTTTTTTTAATAAACAAGGAATAATTTTACCAGAAATAAAACACACGGTTCAGTTTTCAAACAGGATGTTATAAAAGTAGAAGTAAAATGCTAATAAAATATAATTATAATATGAGATATAATGTTTTCGTTTCTTTTCAACCTAAATCTTTAAGACTTTATTTATATTGTAGTAATATAATCCAAATAGGTATACAAACAGGAAAATATTTTTTTCAGAACATAGAATAATAATGTTAACTATATCAATACATTAATAACACAAATTAAATATATATATAATGAATAACATAACAATACATTATAAAACTATTTCTTTATTAAATTAACAATATCATTATTAAACAGAAGCGCCTTTCAGTTTGAGGATAGTATTGTATCATGTATCCTATGGGAATATTCTCTGGGGAACAGCAGCCGATATTGAAACTGTATGTTAATATTTGGTTATCTTGCAAAAAAGAGTTATAAGGGCTATTTATAAACTAAGTTCTAGAACATCTCTTAGAGAAAATTTTAAAGAAATCAAAGAATAGAAAAAGAAAAATATATATAATTGTATACCTTTTGTTACAAGCAAAATTAACTATTATTTCAAACACAGTAATAAATTTTTTTTAATACAAGAAATAAAAAGAAACTCAAGATACCAACTTACAGGTTACAGAAGGTTCATAAATCATTTGTGGGTCAAGGTATACATTTCTATTATAAGATTCCTAATGATATTCTTGATTTGCCTCTTCATAAATTTAAAATACTCATTAAGAATTGCTTACTTAAGCAAGGATATTATACTGTAAAACAATATTTGAATGATAAAACGGCTTGGTGGTAATTTTACCTGTAGATAATTTTTCAAAATTTATATTAAAACTGGGGGCCTTAGAAAGAGTTTTGAAGAGCACCTTGCACTTACTCCTTTTCAGATACTTGTACAATTTGTTTTGAAGATTGTTTCTTGCTATTTGGCACTTTTATTTACAGTTATTTTTAGTAAATTCGTTAATTGTCTATTGTTCACTATTTGACATTATGTGATGGAAGTTGACTTAACACATGTTTGTAAGTTTGATGTCAAGTTTCAATTTGACGACACTGTATGAAATAAAACAGGGAGAAAAAGCAGCCCTTGTTGAGTTTCTTGCCGGTTCTTCTCAGTACAAGGTCTCCCGCCGTAGTTTTGCGAACCGATGGCGTAGTTTTCGACTTTCACATGTGCTTGTAAAAGCCTAAACTGAATAAATGATTTTTGAATTGAATTGAATTATTGTTGATATCACCCTACATTTTGTTCACTGTTCCCCGCGACTCGCGCTAACTTCAGAGTCAAGTTTAAGATCAAATCACAATTATACCAAATCACCGTATTAATATTTGGTTATATTAAGTTCGGCGCATCGTGATTGTGTTCATTTTTTCGCTTAAGGATGGTAGTGCCGAGTGTGATGATGGTCGCCTTACATTCCTTGTAAGCTCGGTTGCAGGCCCAGTACATTGTGCCGCCGAGGTTCCTCTGCTTCACGTTGTATCTGTACCCGGAGAGTTCGAGGATCGGTAAACCTTTCGGAGATTTGAAGAACTGCATCTCTGAAAGCATATTTAATTGTTGTTTTATTATTGTCAAAGTTTTATTTTTCGTAGAATGTGATATATACATTTTATTGACTTCAGAGATCATAAATGTACAAGTATATGTTATACTATATAATTTTAACGTCACATTGGCAGCAATATATACGAGAAAAGACCAAGTCTTTATTTGGTGTTCAATCAGATAGAACTATAATTATAGACAACAGCATTGAACAAATATTCAATAAATACAAACTTAAAATGCTTTTACTTAAAAAAAAACAGATCTCAACTTGAAAAAACTTTCATATAAGCAAAAAAATTTTCTCTTGATTCCTAGGCATATCAAAGTCATAACAAAAGTACACCCTTATAATATAAACATAGTTTAATTATTTTTTTATAAACAGCTGCTACATTTATATATTTGTAAGGCGTACAGTTTACAAGGGTCTAGCTTCAATCGCAGAACTTTTGATGTCATTTTATTTTGTATATCAGCGGATGGCATCATATTTATTTCGCAGACAATTATTTGGCATTCAGTCAAATAGCAGACATTCAAGCAAAAAAATTTGTAAGCTAGAATAATCTTTGGGCATAAATTTTATATCCACAATAATTAAAAAGCAGAAACGTCTTATTCATATCGAAAAATGTTCAAAGCCAGAATAGTCTTTAGGCATTTCGTATGCCTACTTCGTATTTAACCTTTCTTTTTTTTATTTATATGTAATATCAGTCGCTCGCTCGGCTCTCGCTATATTAGGCCACAGAACTGCTTAACGAAATCATCCAGAATAAAATTTTGCTGAAGGTTGTTATGCCCAATAAAATTCTGCGATCTTAAATTTATGCTCTTGTGAATTGCGACATTTAAATAATCGGCCTAAAATTATTATATTTACAAAAAATGCCTTCAAAATTATCGTTTAAAGAAGATTATGTCAATTTCGGAGCAACAACATTTTTCCAGATAAAAGGAACCCGTTTTATGTTACATAATGAATAACTACTTCTAAAGGAAACAATTATGTTACATAATGAATAACTACTTCTAAATAAACCCATTTATACCTTATAATACTGACGATATCGGAAAACAATAGGACTGTGTAATCGTACCTAATTATATACTTAAGTAATACTGTTTTGAATGAACTTAATTGAACTTCCTTAACTACCAATGTTTCTAAAAAAACAACAATAAAACATTATTTATAAAATTAAAAATGGGTTAATGCACGAAACTTTATTTATTTATTGACGTTTCTCAGCCTTTTCAGGTCTGCTTCGTCAGAATAATTTAATCGAAAATTTAAACGAAGCAGACCTGAAAAGTCAATAAATACATAAAGTTTCGTGCATTAACCCGTTAAAAACTTGTTTATTTATCAAATGATTTTTATAGCAATGTGTTAATATTGGCTATCTACCTTGCTACTCCAAAATATGCACTTCTTTAAACATTTCGACAGTTTTTCAGCTTCTGATTTCCGTTAAAACGCAATCAATACTATTACAATAGTATAGTTTTTGACATAGTTATTGTTACTAAAGCATAAAAAATCAAACGCATATAGACAACAAATAATAAAGCAAATACATTTGTGATTTTGTGTTATAACAAAAATTACTGTGTCAAAAATCAAATACAATGGAACACTATTGATGCACGATAAATACTTGGACTTAGCAGAAAGCTCGACACCCATGTCATGTATTATCATGTCCCGATTGCTGGGGCACAGGCCTTTCCTATGATTGACATAGCGTTAATGCGCCATTACCCACCATGCAGGCTCAATGCGGATTGGTGGGTAAGTCAGGTTTTAATCTTCTCATGTAGAAGTCAGAAATTCGTCAGTAACGGGATGTGTGTGAGCATTCTTCCGCTTGATGATGGTGTCGTTCATGGTGACGACGGTGGCGCGGCAACCTGTGCGGGCGCGGTTGCACGACCAGTACGTGGTGCCGAAACGGCTGCGATGCTTCTCGTTGTACTTGTAACCGCCGACGTGGAGAATCGGTATACCTCGTTTGGTCACCGAAAACCGTATTACTGTGTCTGCAAGAAAAGTGGCAAAACTTATTTTTGGATATATTTGGATTATAAAACGTTTTATTATTTATTTTAAAAAATCCTTAGGTTTGATTGGTAACAAGAGCTTAGTAGCGTGTACTTCATTTAAAAATAAAAAGACACTGTGTGCTCTACTGTAACTAACTAGTTTGTAAACTGGAGGCTTCTTAAAAAGATTTTTTTTTAATATTAAGTTATCATATGATAGGGCAAGATTTCTTCTTTGAGATTATGTAATCTGATTCATTAAAAATATGTGTACAAAGATAAACTAATTATATTGATGATAGTATGATTTTTACCTATTAACATAACCAACAGTTATTCCATGTACAGAGTAACATTTAAATTAACTCAATAAATTATAGCAAATATTTAATACGTACATAGTAAAATGAAAAATTATTTACAAAAACAAATAATCACATATTATGATAACTTTCTAATAAAATCTTAAAGTTTACTTACATATATAGTTGTATCAAAGGTGGGTATTTTAAGTTTGATAGAAAGTGAATAAGAACACAAAGACAAATCGTAGGCTCATACCATTCAAAAGTAATCATGACTGCAATAATGATAAATGATATGCGTGATAGATATGTACAAACCACTACGACAATCTTTTATATTACAAAAAAAAGGTATATAACGGTGCGCTTGATTCCTAACAGAGAAAAGGTTAGGCAAATCATGAAATTAATGTGAAAAGTTCTTCAAAACATGATTGTGTTCATTTTTCCACTTCACGATAGAGTTGTCCAACGTTGTCATGGTTGAGCGACAGCCACACCTGCTGCGACTACAAGCCCAGTACCTCGAGGTGCCGTTGTACCGTTTCAGGTTGTATCTGTACTGCCCGGCTATCAATACCAGGGTACCTGGCCTAGTCTCTATGATTTGTGCCGCTGTGAATGAAACCAATGTTAAAGTGCAAGTTACTCTTGATAGATAACTGTCTTCCGCCGCCCGGGGTTACGTACATGTTGAAAATTCCACAGGAACCTATTTTTTTAAAGAATTTGATGTCCCTATTCAGGTATAAATATTTGTTGTAAATTTATTTAAATTTCTTCTGTGTGATTGAGTAACAAAAACCAAAATATACAAACTTTCACATTTATAATGTTAAGTAGGATGAAAACTGAGAACGTGATTCGGTTGTTCAAAAGTTTTTCTTTTAGGTACCTATATAGAAAAGTTATTACTAATACATAGCTACTTTTGAACCCATTCCAAAAAAAGACATCTGTGATATATGATTTTATTACTAACTCATAAAATTAATAAATCCTACGTTAAGAAAGTAAAACATATATAAAAAAAATCTTATATTAATTCACGAAAAATTCTTGGACATAATAAACTTAAGGCACTAAATCTTGCTTTGAAAATTACAAATAACCTATAAAAAGCCGTTAAATTGAAATAATTTCAAGGAATAACAAGAACACGAGTTACACTTTGATTTTTTCCTTATTCTTATACTAATAATAGTTTTTATCTTAGATATTATAATATAAGTAATATCTTCTGACTCTTCATATTCTGTGTATCAGTTTTGAATTGAAAACTATTCAAAACAGTTTAAATAACTTTATTTATTACATCGATAAATTACTTTAATTGTTAAAACCAATTTCCATTGATACATGCTAATTGTGTTGTAATCACAGAACACTAAGGCCCGTATTACAGAAGCGTTGATCTTTACTTGAGTACAGTTAGAAAGGGATGTCGCTATGTGCTAATAGCATTATCCCTTTCTGACTATGCTCAAGACTAAATTAATTACTGAGGATCTTTCTATAATACGGGCCTAAATTATCAATGCATTGCGTATTAGTTTCCAACGTAACATATTAAAAAATATCTTAATTAATTGAAAAAATATACCCACTACTTGAATGTCAGAATTTAAATCAATTCTTCGTCGCAATAACGACGTCATAAAAACTACGTGATCTTTACAATAAAAAAATAAAAGTGTTTTTTTTATTAATAAATTAGTTACTCAAAAGATCTAAAAAGAAAATGCAAAATAATATTAATACAGCATAAAAGTAAAACTTAAGTCATATTTAATTGTAGGTACTTATGTTAAGCCTACTGTGACTTGACATACCTACGATTTCCTGATAAATCAATTCCTTCAGAACATGTTGACACGTTTGGATAACTTTAAAGTTAGATAATACTTACACTTTACGATCACATTAAGGAAAACTCGGAAGACTTGCCCAGGTACAAGAGTTAAATTACTATCTTTCAAATTTGTATTTGAATTTAGCGCAAACAAAACTTCAATTCGTTAATTAGTCATTTTTTTTGCGCTAAATTTTAATAAAATTGTAAAAAAAGGTTCAAACTGTCCCAGCTGAGCAGGTATCCCAGTATTCCTTAGTTTACATGTTGCTTTACCTTGCTAATGCGCGATTTGAAAAACAAAACTACTGCTTTTACTTCTTTAACGTTATTTTTTTACAAAAATTCTAGTCGCCTTTTTATTTCAAATTATATTTTCAAGCCTTGTTCCTTTCTTCATCACATACAAGTTACTTGTAAACGATGCATTATCTACGCACCTTTCGCAATATAGATTTTATTGTTATTGCTGACAGGTTTCATGATGACATTCTCATGAATGATTTTTATTATAATATTATTATTACATTCTCACATCCTTAATTTAACTTTACTTAACATAAAGGAGATTCGGCTCCAAAACCTCACCAAAAATGTACGTGGGCTCAATCGAATTCCACCACAATTTTATTGCATATAATTCACGGCTATGCACAAATAAATATTTTTTTTATACATCTGGTATACCTTTTGGACACTCATGTCTAAACAATGCTACTTAAAAACTACATTAAGGGTCAAAGCAAATCTTACTGAGATAAGTCAAGCAAATCATCAGTCGCACGCATCAGAAGTGTTTAAAGTAGGTATGTTAGATAATTTGTATGTACATTTTATCTTTATTCTTGTACTTCACATTGTTTCGTATTTTATTTGTAAGATATCAGTATATCTTTATAATGCTAAATAGGTATAAAGAGTCTGCTGTCTGTCTTCTTGATGCGTGGCTATCCACAACCGTGCGTTTTTGTCGAAATTTTTTACCACGTACGACAAAACTGTGAATATATTGTCGCCAGCAGTGTTTCCGGACCAATACGACCCAAAAACCTTCAAAAAAAAGCGTACTTCTTCCTTAAAGGCCGGCATCGCATTTGTGATACTCCTGGTGTTGCAAGTGTCATGGGCGACGATGATCACTTACCATCAGGTGAGCCGTCTGCTCGTATGCCCCCTATAACATAAAAAAAAACACAAATAGAAAATACCAATAGCCAAGTGAAGTGCCTACATTACGTGCGACCATCATTGTTGCATGGCGCATCATCGGTCAAATGTGATTTGACTCTTAAATTCTATTAGGAACAAATTCTTAGGAACTTCAATGATTATGATGAAGATTGAGTCGTTCCACACGGTCGTGGGTGAGTCTGATGCTGGCTGTGCAGCCTGTGGAACTCCTCTTGATGCAATGCCACCAGGACTTAAAGCCGTAGTAAGAGGTCCTTTTGAACCTTTGCCCGTTCACCATCACTACAGGATTACCCTTCTGGGACATGCCGAAAACCACTGAAACACAAAGGTTACTGTAGCAAAGTAGGTACTGTGGCTGTTATATCTATTGTTTACATTTTTTATATAAGTAGGTAGACTCTTAAAAGACAAACTATCCTAAAAAATATACATATTTACAAGACAAAATCAATTATTCTTTGTTAGTCGTTAAAAGGATAGAAATCTAATGTTTTTGGTGTTATTTTTAATCATGTATAATATTGACTCGAATAATATTAAAGCCACGGTTCAAACAAATTATTAATTGAACAAATGCTGTTGTCCAGTCACTGTAAAATTATAAGCATATCACAGAAAATATGAAACCTGTAGAAAAATTTAGAATTTTGCAAACCTTATGGAATTGTTCCAAATATTAGCAGTGCGCAATAATACTTTTTTAGGCTTTCGTTCGACTATCATCATCTTTTACTTACTTTCTTCTATTTTTGTTAAAGGTCTTTCACATCGACAAATATCCGGCCTTCAATTCGCAATATATCATGGTAATATTTATACGAATAGCTAAATTTTCAACCTTGTTTCTGAACACTTTAAGGTTTTAAATATAAGCAGTTGATAATCATTTAAATTTCATGGACCTAATAGGTTTCCTTAACAACCTTTTTTTTCGTGGTAAAAGTAACTAGTATTAACAATGGCAACGGCCCCTAGTGCTTTACTTAAGTTTAATTTTCAAGTAAACAATCGATTTAATATTATATGTTTATTATGTTATTAAATACTTGTAAGAGAATTAACAGTGGTTCGGTTTGTGTTATACCTAAGTTAGTTTCTTTTTTCAGGTAAATAATTAAAATCACTGATCGATCTAATATTATATCTATGTTCAATATGTTATTGAATACCTGTCCGATAATTCACAATGATTTGGTTTGTACTTTATAGAAGTTTTTGATAACTTCGTCAATTGCTAAGGTGGCGACTGACACCTTTCGCTTCAGTCTCTTGTGTAAGCTGCAGATCCACCATATCTTATATTTGTTGGATATCGTGCGGGATTACTTATAACCCTCGAAGCAAAGATGTTTCGCCTTGACCTTACCTGACAAAGTTTTTTTTAATTGTAGCATTGAACGTTAATTGTTCATTTTAAAGATAAAATTCCTAAATAAACAATAATATTTCAATCTTACACATCCGTACGTTTATTTGCCAATTGCAGCGTATCTCGGATACCATTAGTACCAGAAAACAATAATATAAAGATTATTTTTAGAGGGTGAGATCGATAGTAAAAGGCAAAAAAGAGGCATTAATGATGCTGTCACGCTGGCAAGGCTGGCAAGGTGGCAAAGAATAGACTGACTTTTGCAAATGTGGTAGCTGACGCCTGTTAGGACTTGCCAACTTAAGAGCTTTCTCTGAATTTGAGCCGTTTAACACTAACAGACCATAAAGATTGCGGATAAATCAACAAGATTTAAAAGAAAATAAATAACAGTGTAAAAGTTATATTCTTATTCTTGGGAGTCTATTGACTATAACTTCTTCAATTCAGCCAAAAACCCCTTCTTCCGACACCATTTCCATTAAAATCTCGTTTCGATCGCTACAAAAAGGTCATAATAACTTTGTTATGAAATGAATCTATCATTGTACTAACAATAGCAAATGAGTTAGTCGACTGAGGAGTGGCTGTTTGTACACTGCCTTTAATTAAACAACATAATGTACTATGATTTGAAAACAACGGCAAGTCACTCTGCGCTCATGAAAAAAACGTAGTCTTTGGTGCTTTAAAAACAAAAATCATGCGAATGCACAGTATATTTTCTGATGATGATCCCCTCCAGCGTATGCAGGGAAGCTGCACATTTCTTGGACAACCTCTTACAACAACGCCACCAAATTCTCGGCCCTCTCTCTTTGTTCTTCGAAAATCTGTGACCTTCGTACCAAATGCACGTTCTTCCATCCAAAATGTCACATGTCACTGAAAAGTGTTCAATGAAAATTAATATGAACAGAATGAAATTACAGAGGAAAAAGGAAACTTCAACATCAACACTTAATACAATAAATTTTTTTTTTATTAACTGCTAGGATATCGTTGAAGAAAACATTTTTTTTGTCTCATAAAGCACGACTCGATCGGTTAAAAAATGGAAATAACAAAATATTTCGAGGCATACTCGACAATTTTCGCATCAGTAGGATTTTAATAATCATAGGCAGGATATTACATTTTTTTTATAAGGCCCGCAAAATAACATACGCCACAATATGAAAATTATAACGTTTGTTTGTAAATCTAACCATACGGCTTTTCGTTGTTCACTCCGTCACTGGTTTTTAGGTCTCGAAATTATCATGAGGCTGGTCAGTTCCAAATATAGTTTTGAAGTTTTTTTTTTCATAAATAAGTAAAGCGCTTTTGGAGTCATTTTATAATCAAGTTCCTTTGATATATGAGTAAATAGTGGATCAGTAGTTTTAATTACAGGATTTGCTAACACTTAATCTGCACGTTTTCGAAATAAATAAACTTTTTTCGTCCAGTCAACTTTAGGTCACACACCGCTTTTTTTGGATCCATTCTTGTTCCTACTATAAAATAATAAACATATTACAAAAACAAATACGAAACCTGTAATTAATTAAAAATTGTGCAATCCTTGCGGAATTGTTCAAAATATTAGCAGTATGCGAAAGAACATTATTTATTTAGACTTCGTTCGACTATCGTCATCTTTTACTTACTTTCTCCTATTATTGTTGAAGGTGACTCCGTATCTTCTACATCCACAAATATTGGGCCTTCACTTCCAAATATGACATGGTAATATTTCTGCATTAATAAATACAAAGCCTTACCCGATATTTAGTTTTTCGTTTCACGTGAGATTTTTTTTAAAATTGGATCTATACTTCTCAAATTCGGGTTTTGCTAAAATATAAGTCGAATGTCGTCTGAACAAATTAAATCTTGTCTCAAAATCATTTTTTAGTGTTACTGTTGGTTTATTAACAACAAAAAAAAATCTAAATTAAAAACACAATGCAAATCTGATTATACAGAAAGAAACATAGCTAATATGTATCCCGAAGTTTCAGATGCTTTACAGCTTCCGTGTTTACGAGATTTTTTTATATAATATAATTTTGTCTTCGAAAATGTTATAATTAACGTATGGATACCGAATGATTTTTAGAATTGTTTATGTCTAAATATTAGAGTTTTAAATAATGATTCGTGTGACTGAAACCATAAGAAATAAATATAAATCATTAAAAAAACACATAGGAGCAAGTCGGTTTCGCAAACGAAGGGTTCCGCAACAAATTTGAGAATAAAAATGTAACTTTTACTGTTTCGATATCCCTTTAATTTGGAATCATAGATGGGAGAGCAACTAGCTTTGGTCACTTTCCTTTAGCTCTGAAAAGGATCGCAGAAAGCGGCAAAAAGAGAACAATTAGCCCAATAAAACAAGGCAGTGTTTTATGTATGGACCCTTTCTTATTTAACCTTTTTACTTTTTATTATTTTTCGCTATAGCTGCAATAACAATACAATAAAATACAAACAATAGGATTGGAATAAAGAACAATCGGGCCTACTACAAATGAAAACGGCCGAAGTTCGAAGAACGAATGCTTAAATTTTCAACCTTATTTTTAAATACGTTAAGGTCTAATATATAAGTATGTGTAAACACTTGAATGCATACTGTGTTCCGATTATAATTATCGTTCGCATTTCAGTAGCCTCAAGTTCAAGTTTTGTTTTCACCCTTTATTAAGGAATCCTTAAAAATAACCAGTAAAGACAGCGACTCCAGTTGCAATATTTAAGTTATGTAGGTAACTTAAATATTAATTATGGAACTTGTTATTTATGATAAAAAAATGCTAAATTGACACTCAAATTCAATTTAGGTAAGCAATTAAAAATACTATTCGATTTAACATTAAATGTTTAATATTATGTTATTAAATACCTGTAAGATAATTCACAATAATACCTGTACGAGAATTCACGACAATACCTATCTATGTTTGACATATTCTATAGTAAACAAATTACCCTAGCAGAAAAACGGGCTAAAATTTAGTTTTAAGGTAATAAATTGTATGTCAGATCATAATTTTAGAAACTTATAACTTAATTTGCTCTCCGTTTTAATCTGCGTAGAGCATGTTACTTAAATCAACGAATATTAATATATACCAACGTATCTAGATACCAATATGGCGCAGGAGCTCGATGGCGCAGGTTGCGATCTTGGATATTAAGCAACTTTCGCAATGGTCGGTCATTGGACGTCTGAACAAAAACTAATTATCTCGAGCTCCTATATGCTTCGGAAGGGACGTTAAGCTGTTGGACCCGGTTGCATCTGCAGTCGTTGCAGTTGCAGTAGCACCCACAATCAGCACTGGGTCCGCGTCCTGAGTCTTAGTTCAATCTCCCTAAGTTGGACCCACCACCACGCAAGGAATAGGGATTGCATCCATAGGGAAGATCTGTGCCCCAGTATGATTCTAAATTTAAATTAATAGGCCGACGATAATCTAGATACCAAGATACGTTGATATATATGATTCGCAAAGTTATAGGTCTTCGCTGAAGAATAACTCATAGTCTCCCCAAGCGATATCACTCTCTCGTAACACTGGAGGTGAAAGTGATACCGGGGCAGATAGTGATACCGGAGCAGATAGTGATACCGGGGCTTTAGAAGCTGTTGAAGCAAGCGGTTTGTGCGTGTGTTCGTTGAAGGTTTTGATAACTTCGCCATTTACTAAGGTGGAGACTGACGCCTTACACTTCTGTCCCTTTCGTAAGCTGCAGTTCCACCATATTTTTTCTTTGTTTTTTTTGGTACGGGTGTACTTATAACCCTCGTGGTAAAGGTATTTCTTCTTGGTCTTACCTGTCACAGAAAATTTTAAAAAATTGTACCACTGAAACATTCAGTGTTAATTTTAACGATAAACACCAAACAAACATTTTATTTTAATCTTAAACCTCCGTGCGTTTGTCCGTCTGTTCGCAGCTTAACTCGGATATCATTAATACCAGAAAACTTTACAATGTAAAGACAATTATTATTTTTGTACTGTAAATGTAATTTCACTGGAACCGACTCAATTTAGCTAATCTAATATGAAAAGATCAGAAGCTTACTTATGAACCTAGAGAGAAAATATTTTTCAAAAGTTTATGCTACCACTTAGTCGGCGTGATTGATATTCATAACTTCACAAAATTACAGCTCTCTAGTGCTAACAGACTCCAAGCAAAACTTCGGAGGGACAGACAGACAGACGGGCATGACAAAACTACAAAGGTTTCTGGTCAGAACTAGGGGACACTAAAAAACAATTTTTAGACTTATAAATCTAGCAGTATTGCTTTGTAAACTACAGGGCGTACGTGATAGCGTTCAACAGATAAGATCAGCGGGGGCCATTCGCCTAACGGAAATGCTTTGGAAAACGCTAACGCTTACGATTGTTTATTTCTAGCCGCCTGGGGTTTTCAAATGCCTCGCGATCTTTCTTCTTTTGCATTGGTACTAATAATATAAAAAAAAGAGCGTGAGGTATTTGAAAACCTTCGGCGGTCAGAAATAACAAAATAAAATCGAAAGCGTTAGCGTTTTCCAAAGCATTTCCGTTAGACGAATGACCCGTTTCTTCCCAAATATTGTAAAAAACATATAAAATAAGTAGGGACATGTACTTTAGAAATATAGAAATTTCAATAATAAATAAAATAACAGTACTACTGATTATTTATGTTCCGTCATTAAAACATGATAAAAATTAAGTTTTCTTTATTTTTAAACTTTTAGGTTCTCATTTTTGGATGTATCCGTCCGTGTGTCTGTTTCATGAATGCAGCAAGCGGACTTTTGAAGGAAACTTTCACAAAAAATGCTATATTATTATTTCCACAGTAATGACTAGCATTTACGAAATTGAGGGAAGAAAGAAATATTTTGGATATTTAGTGTTTTACGTTAGCATTTCATCTTGTAAAACGGTACGGAACCCTTTGTCTTGAACTAGCAATCTGACTCGGCTGGGTTTTTTTCATTAATTTACTCCAAACGTTGTTCATTTTACTTCAAAAGTATATTTTACTCAAGTAAAGGAATAAGATTTCTTACTTTTCAGTGGTTTTATTTTCATGAAGTCAGTTTTTTGTTTTGTTAAAAAGTTTTTAACTGTTAATAAACTTATATGCAAATATTAAACTTAGAAATAGGTACATAATAAACAAACATTGCACCTTCGGCTGTAAAACTTAAAAACACGACATAAGAAACGAGTCAAAAATGTGTCAAAAAAATATTGCAGATCCGGCAGTTCAGGCTCCTAAACAGAACCATTTAGATTAAAAAGCCTTCTTTTCTGACTTTCTAGTCGTGTTTTTCTATACATATATATTTTTTATACTATATTTAATTTTAAGTATTTAACTGCTACATTTATAAATCTAAAGAAAAATCCCGTCTATTGCCTAGATCGCGTCTAATATTTTGTAGTAAAATTTTCTTTAGATTTGCAAACATTTTTTTTATAACACCATTTTAATATTTTTTCTTGAATTTCAAGTTTTCGATTTACGCTTTCTTCAATGGTTGTGTTCAGTTTTCTCCTTCAGAATCATATCGTTGTAAGTGGTGATGGTCGCACGACAACCTGAACTGGCTCGGCAGCAGACCCACAGCACCTTAGGGCCGGTGCTCCGGTTGTTCTTGTTGAACCGGTACCTGCCCAGTTGGATTGCAGGTTTCCCGTACCTCGAGGTGGTGAATTCCGGCACTGCAACTTTAAATTAACCGTTAGTAGGTATAGCATAAAAACCGAAAACATTGTTATGAATATATATATCTTTTTCTTTTGCTAATGTTATAACGGTTTTTAGAAACATCCCTCTTAGATAATGAATAGTATTTTAGAATCATGCGATACTTTATGAAACTATAGCTAAAATAATGTTTAAATGCATACTTCATAAGTTATTAGTTAATGGAAATGAATACTATTCTACTAATTGCTATTATATAAAATAATTATTATGATCATATTATAACATAGAGAAAATGCATGTGATAATTCCAAAACAATACAACAAATTTGTGGAATTCCGATTATTATCAGTAACTAAAGTCTCTTATTAAAGTGTTTTTGAGTAAAAAAAGATAAGATAGATAAATGGAAAGAAAGCAAAAATACAAATAAAAAGATAGGTTATTTTTTTAAAATACTTTAATACATTTTTTAAAATACTTTAGTCATTTATTTTTAACAAGTACATAAGTTGGCATATCGTCAAAAATGAGGTGTACTAAGAGATTAATCAAATTTATCTTAAAAAAGTAAAACATAAATGGCACACACAACAAATCAAATGCGTAATATTCTTATACGTAAAGGATAATTGCCTTCAAGATTTTTTGATCACAGACTTACTAAAAAGGAATACCTTTTACACAGCTCCGTTTCAGTGAGAAACTTACTTACTTTAAATTGCATAAACATAATTCAACAAGTGAGTATTATTAGACTACATTTATTATAGCTCTGCTATTTCAAAAGAATGTGGACGAGACGTTCGGTACTACATAGAGGGCTCAGGTAAGGTGCGAGTGCTTCACAAGGTGCAAGGTATAATCACCTTATGCTATTTTACCGCGCTCGAGTAAATCTCAAAATCCCCGCTTGGACTCCTCTACTACTAGTAGAGAGCACTTAATTCCACAAGATTCTTCAATCTAAAATTGATGATTTGTTACTTCCTCTACAGACACATTGCCTCCGCAATCAGAAATCAATATATATATAAGCAAGAGATGTACTTATCTCTTTTGCGTCCAATTTTTTTTCCTACCACTCGTTATTGGACATATTTTTTGGCTGCGGAGAAAAATGAGCGAATAAAACCCCACAACATTAAGAGTATAATGTAACAACATTTACAAATCATTATGTTGTTACAATGTCAATACAATCATGATTTATTCAATATAAAAAACCTGTTGGAATGATTGGAACAGTCCAATGAGCATCTATTCGACTTCCACGTCTATTTGCAGCATACAATAGCTTTGGAATCAGTACACCATTATGGAAAGCAACAGGAGCCTTGCCTTATTTATTCCCTTTTTTATAACCCACACTTTTTTTACAATTGAACAGTATCTTTAAATTTACCATTCTAAATAACCTCCATATGTAAGCTTGTTTTCAGTCAATCTTATGGTGAAAAATTTCAATTACGTTTCGGTAGATGGTTATGGGAATTCCTATATTCCAGTATGATAGAGTTATAGACGGTGACAGCTGCACGGCAGCCCAAACCCCGCCGACCGCAGAACCAGGACGCCTTCGGACCACTGCTCCGATTGTTTTTGTAGTACCGATACGAATCTATCACCAATACCGGCTTCCCTAGCCGAGTGGTGGAAAAAATGGCTGCAAATGACGGACACGAAATATTTAAACTTATTCATAACTCTACCATGTTATATATAGGTATTTATTACAGCTTAAATAAAGGACGAACCGAGGCGACATACTTTAATATAAAACGTCACTCACTATAAGGTTTTATGAAAAAACTCTGAAAGTATGGATCAGAATTATCAATATTGCAGCCGTTATGCACACCAATGACTAAGTGGTAACGACGAGTTTGAATAAGTTGAAGAAAGCCTTGCAGTTTTTACTGAGATTGCTATATTTAAACTGCTAACTTGGCCAGTTTAATGATTTAGAAATTTCATTTTTAATTCTTTGAAAAATTACAAAGGAGCGGAACGAATAATTGATATAATAACATATAGCTATGAACGTCATTGATTTTGGTGATGACGTTTTCAAAAGTGGTGATGGCGGGCTTGCAGCCGCTCATGTAGATTCTTCAACAATAAAAGATAAAATAAAAAGATTCGATGATAAAAAAAAACTTTAATGGTTGTGCACATCGTTGATTTTGATAATAACGTTTTCGAAGGTATTGATAGTGGCCCTGCAACCGGACCCGCATCTGCTGCAGCACCACCGAGCCCTGGGTCCTCGGCAGTGGGCGTTGATGTTGTACCTGTTACAGCCTAGCAGTAGCACCGGCTTGCCGAAACGAGACTTAGTGAACCGCGGCACTGAAATAAAATTATTTATCCAATTCTAAATCTCTCTTATTTAATATAAAACTGTTTTTAGACCAACATATTGCAAAAGTAACTAAAAGGAAACTAGGAGAAATTAAAATTGCAATTTTTTCTATAAATCAATGTTACGCCATTCTCTGACGCTACTGAAATAACCTATTGTGGAATAGAAAAGCAGATTAATAAAAAGACATTGCTAGATGCTTTAAATAATTGATCAATTTATTCACTTACATTTTAAGCTTAAAATGACTATGCTATAATCAGGTTTTGCTTTTTTTTAATTCCGAAACTCAACTATCATCTATTAATCGATCAATCATATCTATCAAACAAAATTTAAATACTTTTAAAAATATTAATTAAAAGATTTATAACTACAGCAATACAATAATTTAATAATATAAATAACATTATTAGCAAATATAATTCTTGTATCACGCACGTCCACGTAGGTGGCATAATTTCAAAAATTTTAATCCTTTTGTGTAGCAAAAGGACTTTGTCAGTAGTGTGAGTACAAATAAAATGATTAACATATTAGACTATACGTAAATTCCAAAGGAATTCCTTTCCATGTCGTATTTTTTTTAATAAATATTGCGTAATAATGTACTACAAAACTTAAAGCGTAACTTAAAACTCACATTCAATAGGTACTTAATCTACTCTAACAATATATATTCATCCATTTTAACGCCATGAAACTTGCATCAAAAAACAATGTTCAATGATTGTGGATACCATTGATGCATAAGACTAGATCACCCACAGTGCGGACAGTAGCTTTGCATCCTCTGCTTCGAACGCGGCTGCACACCCAATTGGCCCTTTTCCCCGAACCTTCACTGTTCAGATTGTACCTATAGTTTCCGAGCATAATAACCGGTTTTCCAAATCGTGACTTTGTGTATACAGCCTCTGAAATAAAACATTTTGTTCCGAGTGGACCATAAATTATCGATTCGCATTCTAATGTACATTTTTTTTCTTGAAATGGTTACCTAATTATAAAAAAAAACATTTATATGACATATAGATGAAAAAAACATTGAAATAAATAAAATATATGATTTAAAAGAAAAAGTAAATGTCTTAAAAGATAAGTAAAACTTCGAACGCAAAAATTTATTCGTCACAATAAATACCTACTTTTTTACAACTGTGAACGCATTGAAAATTAGAAATACTTTATTTGATTATTATAATTTACACAGCTGAATATAAAAATATCATAAGTAGTGCTTGACTTTTTAATTTGTACCTATATCGTATTATTTTATAATCACCATTATATGATTTTCTTACAAACAAAATAAAAAATTAACTTATTAACTCGCCTTTCTTTATACTCAATTCGTACGACCACGACCATATGTTTTCGCATGACACAAATTCGTGTCCAAAGTGAAAAAAACGTATTCTGAGCGCGCACTCAATTCGTATGACCACAATCATACGTTAACGTACGATAGAAAATCGTGCCCAAGGCGAGCGCGGCTATATTCGACTAGTCTTTATTCTTACAATTTAAAAATAAATTATTATGTCCATAAAAAAACGTAATAGCTTCGACTTTAAAACCAACATGATCATTATCCAGATTTTCTATCCATTTAAAGAGATCTTTATTTTAATGCTCATCACATCCAAATTATATTATACTTATTAGTTCAGTATATCAAGGAAAAACTTTATCATAATATTGTCTATGATTACGAATTCATTTGTATAAGTACCTTACATATGCTAAATATTACTACCTACCACTAAATAAATTCAAACATATGCCCACACAAAATATTATTTGTCTAACGCCATTTGGACCTCGACCCCCTTATTAATAAATAAAAATAAACTTGAATTAGTTACTCAATGTTTTTCTCCTTTTATTACATTAAAAATGGCATTTGAATGATATAAACAAAACACAGCGTAACTAGTCTAAGCTTCGTCTAGTTCTTGGTTGGGTGAGAGTTTGACAAGGCACAAATAAGCTTATACCTTGTTTATTAGGGGGGTCAGAGATGACAAGGTATAAAAAATGCGACACTACAAAAGACAGATATTTATTTATTTTAACTACATTAGCCTCTTTAGCTGTAAGGACGGCCTCCCTCTGAACCACGAATTGCGGATTCATGTGTTCTAAAGACTGCAGATGCAGCTAATACTAGCGGTTCGGCGTGCCTTACGAAACACGTAGGATCTCAAGATAATATATTTCAGTTCACTCACCCTTCCTGTGACGGCCAACTGACCCGTGAGATTTGCACCATTGCTTAGATATTTTTTCGAAAGGTTCATATGCATACTACCTGTATGACCTAGAAATATAGTATATGCTGAAACAAGCCAGGGTGGGTCACTAATACTATAAACAATATCTTTAACATAAAGTCAGATTTTAGCGACCCATTTGTAAAGCCTCATCTAATAATAAGATGAACAGATTCTGAAAAAATATCATTTGATATTGCAGTTAATTATCATAAAATCGCTACCGAGAAACTTTTACACAGTTTAGCAGATGATGATGTATTGTTAATATGTATAATGTAAAAGTTACATATAAAATGTGAATAACGCTTTAAATACAATCTTTAAGATCTCGGTAAAGTTATTATCAGTGCAGTCGCCTGGACAGCGAAAGGCCATAACCCGTTTTTTTTCTTGAATCAGTAACAACATTCAACTATACACGTAAAAATGCATAGAAAACTTTAATATTACAAATATAAGTATATACTGGTGTTGAATCCGGCGTGATTCTCTAAACTCAAATCTAAATTTAACATCAGTCTCTCCTTTTCATTCTGTATAGAGGATGACAAGGATACACTGTTGTCAAATTTATGTTTAGGTTTAGAAAATCCTGCCAGAATCGACACCAATAGTGACCTAAAATTTTACGTAGTTCCCACAGGAACTACATTAAAACCATCTTACATTTTTCCTTAATCTGCTATGCCGTCGTAGCAGAGTCCAAAATATGTTTTTTCACATAGCATCTTTGTAAATATTATGGCTGCGATAAAAATACAGTTTTGAGGAAATTCTATGACTTTATCAACGAAGTCTTGATAATAAATGATAGCGTGGGTTTATTTCCCCCCATTCGAACTTGTGATAATCCTTGTGTGTTTGTGCTGGTTCCTGTGGGTCACAGAGTTACCAACCGTGATGATGGACGCTCGGCAGTTCGTGAGAGACCATTTGACGCATCTCCACACTTTGGACCCGGAGGACTCGTGCTCACAATGCAGGTTGTATCGGTTGACGCCCAATTCTATGACTGGCTTGCCGAACCGCGACGTGGTGAATTTGAGTTCTGAAATACAATGTACACAAAAAACCCATGTTATTCTAAACTTGTAGACTGGGAGAAAACAAATCTTAGACCGCTAGACTTAAACTTTATTATAACTCCGACGGGTGAGGAGAGGTGGATGACATTATGAAATGAATATAGGGAGTATTTTAATTTACATATATGTATATTCAGGATTAATAATTAAGTACGTTAGAAACATCACGATACAAATGCATTCCTGTAACTCAAAGATGGTCAACTAAAGAATCCTAAACTAAAGGCCAACTTAAATATGAGCACTAGATATAGTATACAGATGCTACTATTAAAAATCACGCTAGTCTCCTTTTCATGAACTATAAAATATATGTGTCTTGTTTAAATTAAAGTAATGTTAAAAGTAAAACCGTCAAAATGAAACTTTTTGATGTGTAACATCTTTCCTATCGCATTCTTGCAATTTGTGGGTGTGATTTCGTGAAATGGGTCGGAAGTGTGTAACAGGAAGTCGCCAAAGCGCGCGCTACTTCATTTGATTTTAGAACATAATGTTCAAATGGCTTATTCCTTTTGTAGTAGGTTTTATTTCTTTTTTTACTAACATAAGGTGAGGTTTCAAATGTTACACATCATACGCGACTACTGTAAGGCTCGCTCGTTTTTTTTTAATGAAGCCCGCGTGGTGGCATTACTTTAGAATCAGTAGCATTCGCTTATATTCCCTAATATTGTCATTATCTATAAATCAAATAGAACTCGGTGAATTCATCTAAACACTAAATCCCCATTTCTCATGTTGATCCTGCACTACACTACTGGGGAAGTTCATCGAAGTTGGCCGAGTGCGAGAGTGTAGAAAGCAAGGAATTTCATACCAAGGAATCTTAGGTATATAAATTCCTTGGTAGTAAGGCACTGCGGGTAGAATCGTGTAACTTCGATTTACCTCGGACGACTTCCGATTGCTGTCGGTTATTGCGCCCGACTCAAGTAATTGAAGTGTCACGAACCGTGCCAAGGAGCAGCATGCTTGTGTTCATATACGTACTTCAGACTTCGCCCAACTTCGACGACTAATTCGACGAAACAACTTCGCGAGTAGTGTAATGGAAGTTTCACAGTGACGCCAATTAGGATCGCAAATTCCAGTAAAGCCTCAGTAGATTTAAATAACTCGGAAGATAAGCAGAATTTTTTGAGTTCTTCGTAAAGTTTTTGAACGCTAAACACTTATTGATCAATGGTTATGCATATTCCTAGATTTAACAATACTCCCGTCTATGGTTGTGACGGACGCTCTGCAGTGAGATGATGCCCATTTGGAGCAAGTCCAGAACACCTTGTTACCTCTGCTGCAGGTGTGCTGTCTGTACCTGAACCTACCTATCAGCAGGATGGGGTTACCCTGGCTCGACAGCTCAAAGACTGGCCCTGAAACAAAATACTCAGATTCTAAGATATGAAGCATACTTACCATAATTCCTCTAATAAACAAGTGTGCACATTATACCGAACTGTTTGCAACTAAAACTTGTAAGTAATTTAAAGGTAAAAAAACTAAATTCCAACGACTATTTAAATTATGATACCTCAATTTAAGAAACCTACAGAATTAGTAGGAATGACATGCGATATGCGATGCGTAAGAACATAACTCATTCTTCTCAATTACGATGAATCTACATTATTATTGAGAAATACATTATACTAGTGTAATTGTAAAATATTAAAGGAGAAGCATATCTTATATTTAGCCTCTACATAGATTTTTTCTCGATTTTCTGTCGAGGCTGTATGATTAATTTTAAATGACAAAGTCACTTAATTTTTTCATATATATTTATATTCTGACTCAATAATTTAACAGATAATCACGGATAATATTTTTTAAGAAAAATATGACACGATAAAATAGTTATTAAACCCAGTTACATTATCGGTGGATCTGGACATCGTCGCTCTGCTACGAAAGTGTTCTGGAAAACGAACATACGCATACGGGCTTCACTTTCCAGCAAGGTCCTCAGATAATGTGACCAAGTTGCTGGTACATTAGTATTCATGTAACCCAAATAGATGCCAACTTAGGAATAGAAAAGCAAAGAAGAATAACTTTAATCAGGAAATAATTTTCCATGCCCATTCTCCACAAACTGTAAACATACTCGCAACATTTGTACATAAAAGAATGTGAAGTGAACACGTTTAATAGATCATTGCGAGACTAGAATACCCAAATCCATTTAAATAAAGTTATAATTTTTGATGATGAGAAATGAAAAATCATTACGGCCAGTGCGTTTTACGTTATTGTAGCTGATTGATCAATGGTTATGCTCGTTCTTGGACTTGACAATGCAGTTATCTATGGTTGTGACCGAAGCTCTGCAATTATATGAAGAGCCCCATTTGTAACAAGTCCAAAACACCTTGCTACCCATACTGCCCCTGTGCAGGTTGTATCTGCATTTCCCAATCAGCAAGATGGGCTTGCCCCGCTGCGACATGCCGAAAACCGGATCTGAAATAGAACACAGTTTCTGAATTTGTCACATTGTTATCCACCATTACTCCATTATACAAGGAAAGAAGTGTGCACATTATACCGAACTATTGGTAACGAAAAATACAAAATAATAAAAAAACTGAAATTAACTTTACAAGAAACAGTTACTATTAAACTTATGATTAATACAAGTTTTTAAAGCTTCTTCTTGAATATGTATCCCACCAAAACATTTTCATGTAAAATTTTGCCAAGACAAGACCATATGACTCGCAGTGTCAAAATGTTATCATATCACATGTAGAACAAAGCTTCTAACTTTACACGCCCTAACTCTACAAGGGCTAACTTCACAATCTCAACACTTCAGTAAAAATATGTCGGCCATGCCACATATAAACAACTTACAAGAACTTTTGCATAACAGAAAAGTAATGAACAGCGGATAAATTTTTCACCTTATGTCCATGTGAAAGTATCGAAATGGCCAAGGCCACATATTTTGACTAAGGTGTAAAGTAAAAGTTGAAATAGCATAATAAGTAAGTATATATACTATTTTCTAATTTCTGATGAAAGAAAAAGAAAACCACTAAGTATATTATGTGTTGTGTGTGTCCTGTATTTTTTTAAATATCAATAAGCTTTGTGGAATTTTAAACAATTACATACAAAAAAAAATCGCATAACAAATTTGTACTTTTGGATTAAAGTTATTTTACTCTCCTCTTAAACCTTAGAGCAGATTTACTTTTTAGCTTACTTAAATAAAGTTTCGATTTTGTTATATAACTACATACTCTTTTATAAAATACAATAACACTACATGAGCCGTACAACCTTAGGACAACACCACCTTGTTTTCGTTTCGTCTACTGCTTTAACAAATTATGTCTACGTTGTTTTCAATTGTGTAGTATAACAACTCTTTTTTTTTCGAATGATTAAGATATTAAAACAATCTTAGCTAAGAGGTAAGAAATTCACAATTTAGTAGAAATTTACTACTAAAAGTTAAGGCCACTAGACTTTCTGATATTCATCTCCTCTCGCAGATACAACGCGCGTGTCAGTGGACGAGAGAATTGATGGACCAACTTTAATAAATTCAAATAGCGTCGATGATTTTATTCCATTTCTGTATAAAATCTACTACTACTGTCTGTCTGTAATCAGACGAACTCAATTTAATGGACACTTGTATTTTTTTAAATATTTTATTACTAATTCCCAGACTCGATCTATAATTGTTTCAAGACTAATCCTGCTTACTTTATTTTGAGAAATATTTCAAAATTTGGATAAAAACACTTCCGAAATTGTATGATACCGACATAAAGAAATGTTCTATTAATTTCACTTTCATTATTATTTTTGATGGAAAGGGTAACACTTCTTTTTGATTGGGTTATAATTTATTGAGCAAATGAGTTCCAAGAATAAAAAATCACCCCTTAAGATAAATTTAGATGTTTGATATAGACATTTAGAACACATTGCGACGACCTCCTTGGCCGTGTCGCCTAGTCAGAGGTCCCAGATTTGAATCCCAGTGGGGGCGAATGTTAATATGATGAAAACGAGCATTTCTACCTTATTCATGGATGTTTATATATATTTTCTAAATACACATAACAGTATATGTATTTTATCCGTTACCATCCCATACCACAAGCCTTACAATGGGTATGAACAAATTTGTTAAAAAGACGAGTTTAATCGTCTTCTTCATCTATCTACCGACACAATAAATATATGATTCATCACTTTTATTTAAACTCAAACGCAAGGAAACAGTTATTGACGACGTGAACAATTGTATCTTTAAAGTAGTCCACTGGTTCAATGTTAATAATCTATTACTTAATGTAAGGAAAAGGAAATGTATGAAATTTGTACTACTTAGTGTAAAGGATAGGAATATAGAGCCAATCTTCGAATTTTGCAATTTTTATACGCATTTTTCAGCGTTAACCACTGTTGTCCCTATCGCACGGTATTTGCCCATGTGAGACAGCATTTTCTTTTTCAAATACCTATTACTCGAATATCTCTGAGATCGCGTCTGCTCTTGCTTTTTCATTCAGAATCTCTAAATTGGAACGCAACAATTGGCTGCGTTCATTTTCTTGATTCCTGTTAATGGTTGTGTATGTTATGTACTTTAGCAATTACACCGTTAATAGTTGTTACTGTAGTTCTACATCCGAGTGTGGTCCATCTTTGGCACAACCATTGGACTTTGGGGCCTTTACAGCGACTGCGTGCGTGGTATCGGTGACCATCCATGTTTAAAACAGGCCTGTTGCGACTCGAAGTTGAGAACCATACTGGAAAACATGGGCAAATTAGCAAATGAGGCATTAAACTTATGTGGTAGAATATTCTCCCTTGACACTATTCATTAGTACAGTATATCAATTGTACAGAAGAGCATTCCAATGTTTTTTTTTTATTTTCTTTGTTTGTTTATTTACTTTTCAACACATTTGCTCAAAAAATGCATTTACTGAGCATTGTTCGAATGTTAAAAATTACGGGCCATACAACGGAGCTCATGATACCTACATGGCGCCGTGCGTATCTTTTTTGTTTTTTTATTTAATTACGGTCGTTTCTTGGAAGAGGTTTTAATTTATAACTTTGTCTCACTTTAGTACTAAAAAGAAAAAGAAGCGAAAGATGTTGTCCTTATTTTCATCAATGCGGCGCCATTTTCTTATTAGTAAAAAAAATGATCATTACATAAATTAGGTATACTCACCGTTTTCTCACAAAAGTGTTGAGAAAAGTTATGTGACATTCGTGCGGAGTTGCTATTTACAAAACTTGTGACTATGGCTAAATTCGTCTTCTCGTTTGTAATAACTAACTTATCGCACTAATATCATCAATACCTATAACCGTCGTGATGTCTGTTTAGCTCGCTAATTGATTGATAAAGAATACCTTGTGGCATTGAATCCGCCATTTCTTATATACCAAAAAAACCATGGCGGCAAGAGAACCATCGAAATAAAAATGCTGGCATTTTAAATACTATTTTATTAATGCTTGGTTTAATATGATTACAATTTAGTGATTGTGGGCCTTCGATGGGGGTATGATCTCGCCGTCGATTGTGCGCAAAGATGCCCTACATCCGAGGGACCTCCATTTGATGCAGGGCCACTGGAAATTGGACTTACTTCTATAAGGGCGTATATATTGGTAGTACCGATGTCTTCCTATTTGAATCACCGGACGACCATTTCGGGATTTCGTAAACCGAGGGCCTGCGAACATAAGAGTTATATCCTCAAATTAAAATACCGAACTAAAATTAAAATGACACTAATTATTTGAAAGAAGCGCCGGGTGAATATTATTTAGAACACATTTTTGAAGTTATACTTCTTTAGGCGCGTTATGAAAAAATGATGAGAGTGAAATTTTAAGATGCGCGTGCATCACTGTAACACAAAATTTTAACACCATGAAGTTGACCAACTTCATGCGTTACTTTTGTGTTTACCGCACATTAAGAAAATCTACCAACAAAATAGAAATAGAATCTCTATTTAGTGGGTGCTAACGACTGCATTGTGAAGGCCTATCAAAAGTATTTATTAATCTGGAACAACGGAACCAAAGCGCGATTCAGGAGACTACAGCGCCATCTCTTGACCATTGGTGTAGTAGAACCAAAAACCACATCTTTATTTTTTGTAATAAAGTAACAGTTATAGGTATTCATATTTATAATATCAAAAGTATTTATTAATCTGGAACAACGGAACCGAAGCGCGATTCAGGAGACTACAGCGCCATCTCTTGACCATTGGTGTAGTAGAACCAAAAACCACATCTTATTTGTACAGTTCATGTAACAGTTATAGGTATTCATATTTATAATATTTATCCACATGTTTCTAGTTTGTATATTCGGAATACGTGTTTGAGTTTCATACAAGTGCAAATCACATATGTTCTAATAAATTATATTCAGTAGCGATTTTAATTGAATATTTTGATTATTTATTTATTTTTTCAAATTAAAACTGAACTTTATTGACTGTGTCCTTTTCCAGACTTTTTATTAATTTATTGTAATTAATTATTTGCATGCAATTAAAAACTAATTTTAAACGATGCCAAAGAAGGATAACTTCTCACGCGCCTACATAAGTACACGCACCCATTTTTTTTTATTATAAATGTGTATATTCTGTTTTCAATGATGTTGTGCAAATCATTAAAAAAACGGTCTGGTCATGTTTAGAACGCTGATAGTCATACATACTACTATCTGAAATGATTAATTTATCGCATATTTGACATATATAGGCAAACTTGCAGCAAATTTGCTAAATCTTGATTCAACTAACTCTAGTTTTAACCCGTAAAAAAATATCAAAACGTCAATTGTCATTTGATTTTTTTATATGGGTTAGAAGTAGTTTTAGTTAAATAGAGATTTATCAAATTTGCTGCAAGGTCTAGGACACAGTACTTTATTACGAAAAATTGGCTTCAGGTCGCACAAAATCGTAACAGGTGGCGTAAATTGAAGGAGGCCTACACCCAAAGGGTTGAGACAGGATGTTCAAGAGATAGATAATAATATAATAAATTGTCAATCAGATTGAGTTTAAAATACAAATCGAGCATGAATTCCGATCCAAAGTACAATTTTGGTTAAAGTACGGATTTGCAAATATCAAACTCAAAGGAATCGTTACATTACAGATGTTACAGAGAATTCTTTATAGCTCCATGGGATTTTTCGACTTTCCTTGTATATTCGAAATTCGAAATTCTTATTTATCGAAGTTATATTCGAAATTCGACTAACATTTTTAGTGAAATCTCTAAACATGTCAGTTACATTTTAGTTAAAAGAACTGAACTAATGATTGTGTTTTTCAGCCATCGAGACGACCGTTTTTTCAATAGTGGTGACTGAAGCACGGCAGCCTGTCGCATGGCGTAAGCTACACCGCCAAACTACCTTGAACCCTTTACAACGTGAGTCCCGGTAAAACTGGTATCTTTCGACTTGAAGAACCTCATTACCACGCCTCGAAGTTGTGAAAAATACACCTGGAAATATACTTTACATTCACTTTCGACTTTTACTGGGTAAGTTCGTCCCATCGACGATCTTATATTTGTTATCGATCAAAATTTCGGTCATGAGCAAACTTTTTTGTGTAACAAAAATATTCTATTCGATTGAAACTCATTGCAAGAACAGCTGATTTTAAATGGTTATTTGTTATATTATTGATTTGCCCATTGTAAGTGTTAATAAAGGCTCTATTGACTTCGGCATATAATATTATATGAGTTCATTATGGTACCTGGTGACAAGCTATGCAAGCACGAAAATATGCGGGGAGAAACTATAAATAACTGAAAACACAATCGTTTCACAAAATAATACGTCACAATTTATTTATCTAATAATATGCTTCCCACACTTGATGCTTGTTATCAATGAATGATACAGTATATTATTGTAATTAAATAATTGTAAATTCAATCGTTTCAAAAAATAATACAAGAGCGTTTATTTATCTTATAACATAATCTTATAAAATACTTAGTGCTACAGTATATTATTGTTATCTTTAAAGGACATTATTCTGCGTAAATACATAGTTAGCCTAAGAACCAACAATCATGAAATATTATTTTCTAGGTTTGAAATCGCAAGTAAATGACTGTAAAAACAAAGATTATTGACGGACACTTCTGGGAACTTAAATTATTAAGAATACTAAAATTTTTTTGAGGTTATGTTTAATATTCAATGAAACATAGGTCAACCTATGAACTTAGTATGAACTCATTATGAAGTGAATTATATTAATATTATATAATAATACAACTAATTCATTTTATTCGTTGCGATTTTAAAGAATAACTTTTAGGAAAAACTTGGTTAGGTAGGAATCAAGAATAAAATAAAAACTGTAGTTTTGCTTCTTATTTATTGACTATTTTTCACATAATTGTATCATATATTTATTTGTATATCACATGCATATTGTGTGCAGCGTGAATGTGTATCAGGTGCTCTTGAATAATTTGGCAGGATGATCCTCTCAGGATGTTGTGGCACAGGTTCACTAGCACTTGGTAATAAGGTCTCTGCTCTTCGGTAATACGATGGCATATTAGATAGCCGAAATAGTTAAATTAAAGGAAAAACAATCGCAAATAAACACACACAATAGGTAATCCGAAACGAGAATGCACTTTCCGGTATATTAAACTACTCTTTGGAATGCACGAATGCCACAGATTATAGCGAACGCAAACTGCCTGCACCACAACCACAGAGTATCGAGTTTTATCCTTACGGCCCTTCACTTGACAACAGTTTGTCCTTGTCATGCTTAATAAGGCATGAAAAGGACAGACTGATGTCATGTTTTAAAATAGCAAATACGAATAGCCAAGTGAAGTGCCGGCATTAGGAAGAAAGAGTGTTTTGTTTGCAGCGCTGTCATAGATTATACATATAAAATGGTATTTATTGTCTCAGATTTATTTTTAACTTTTTGATTTAGCTTACTTAACTGGAAGTGTCCGTCACAATCTAAATATTGATAATTATCGCAAAAAATAAACTAAGAATTATCATAAATGCCATATTGGTGTTGGTTCTTAGGCCAATTTTAACATTGTCCTTTAGAATCATCAATGGTTATGCGAATTTCTAATAAAAAGTATATTATGTTCCAGGGTAGTCACCGAGGCCCGGCAGCCGCGTGACGACCAGCTGCTGCAGAGCCACTGCACCCTGGGACCCTTGCATTGACCGTGCTTGCAGTACCGATACTTGTCCTTCACTAACATCGGCTTCCCAAATCTAGACGTGGTTAAATAAAACTCTGAAATATAAACCTCTTATTAATGTTTGATAAATGGAAAATAAAGATTTGTAAAACACTTTTTAAGCTTAATCTATCGATCTAAATTGCTATGCTAGGTAATAAAACGCTGGTAGTGCTTAATTTCAGCCACCGGTAAGCGCTGCCTACCGTAACATAATTGGACTTCAGATACACTAAACATGGGAGAAGGTAAAATTACTTGATTAGGTATTTATCGAGAAGTGAAAACATAAGAAAGCAAAAAATTATTTACAAAATAGATGACAAGGTCATATGCACAGATGATAAAATCAAAAAGGACCCTGAAGATAAGCAATCCAGTGAAAGAAATAAAAGAGTAGAAAAGAATCTTCATCACATAAATAAAAAACAGTCGATTTATAAAATAGAATATATTTTTTTATTAGAACTTTTGATGTCATTATTATATTTATTACAAATACATTAAATAATAAATATTCACTTATACTACTACAATTCTTATTACACAACCATCAATGGTTATGCGAATTTCTGATGTAAATTATATTCTCATCTATCGTAGTGACGGAAGCACGACAGCCCAGCCGTGACCAGCAAGTGCAGAGCCACAGGACCTTCGGACCTTTACATTGACCGTGCTTGCAGTACCGATACTTGCCCTTCATTAATATCGGCTTGCCAAATCTAGACGTGGTTAAGTGAAACTCTGAAATATCAATTTCTATTTAATGCGTAATAATCACATTTAATTTTTTATAACTAACATTTTAGAAAAAAATACTAACGATCTTCTAAGCTTAACATATCGCCGGATGTTAATATGTTTCGTGGAAATCATCATCATCATTACAGGCACCGCAAGATTGCAGTGAAATAACACTTATTTTTTTAGTGTTGTAATTCTACATGAGATATCAACATTTAGGAGACAAAACGATGAGGTAAGTTTTTTTTAAAAAACATTGATTTTTTTTTTAATTTCACAATTTATTACACACAGCAATATGACTATAATTTATATTCTCTATAGGTTATCTATTTAGGTTGTATACAACAGTCAGATATGAATTTGCCAATAAACACGTAATTTTAAATGTTAATTAGAACAAAACGTAATCATGATAGTAGTAACTTCCATAGCGTATGCATTTCTAAATTTTCGGGAGACAAATGTTCGCACATCGACTGCGTTGAGTCCATGACAAATTCTCGGCGGACATTTTCTTCACGATTAAGGGACTTTTTTGTACTCCGCGGATAAAAGTACTTTGTCTGCGTAGGTTACTATGATTTAGGTTCCTAATAATTTACAACAAGTAAATTTCTATAATAAAATCGTAATTAACAGACTCCCCACACTAGCGTCTTTAGATCGTCATAGTCGCGCCAGCATCTGCGTAATGTCGACGCGACGCCAGAGCTGGCCAGCTTGCATTACACTTGTTCACAAAAAAACGTTGAAGTGACACATGACGCTAGCTATAACGACGGAATGCCAGCGATACTTTTTTATCTATGTTACCTACATATTAATTGAAATATTATTAACTATATTACACTGAAACCACCCACACTAATTCAGGCACCAGTCTGTCACAATACAATTCAAACTGTAACAAAAGATTGTAAACCATAAGTGGTATACCACAACAACCAATTTTCATGCGAGAGAAAGAAAACTATAGCTACGATACCTAAATATGTATTATTTAAATACGTATTTCTGTATTAGACATCGACATCACTTAAAAATATTTCCGGTTTTGCCCAGCAAAAGGCAGCTGGTTTTACGATACGAATTAATCAATGAGTTTTGATACAGATTTAATTATTAATGAAGTAAAGAAACGACCAGCAATATGGCTGCTTTACGACCAGCTATGGCCGCAAACTTGGCGGCACCCAACCGAAGCTTCTACGACCAAGGTTGTGGCCAAGGCCATATTTGATCGTGGTCTTGGCCGAGGTCGCATACGCTTGGCCATTGGACGCTTTGCTTGATTTTTTTTAGTGTGTATGCTCCTCCAGGTCGCAGATGACCTTTACAGCGTCACCGGGTTTGGGGACGGCGAGATCCTTAGGGGACCTCAATCCGAGAATTGGCGAGTGCCTCTAGAGGTATTCCAGGCTTAAGAGAATTATGGCCACTCGGCATTCTGAAAAGTCTCTATTCGTCGATAGGATTTTATTTTACAATCTCAAGGAAAAGTAAGCTGTCGTTTTCTATGACGTTCCCCCACTTTCAGGCCACCATATTGAGGAATTGTATACCTCTGGTACTCTTCTACGCTCGTGGCATTTGTGTAGGCCGGGTCCCTTGATGATGCCATTGTCGAATGTAGTGATAGTACTCCGGCATCCGTTGTACCATTTTGCACAACGCCATATGCGTTTGCCGTTTTCCCTGGTGACATGAAGACTGTACTTTTCCGTGTTCTTGAGGAGCACTGGCTTTCCCCTTTTCGAAAGCGACATTACAAACACTGCAAAGAGAATTAAAGTTAATAGCAGTTCATGAAGTTTATGATGATGCATGCATTAAACATAAAGTTAGCTCTATAGACTATAATTTTAAATGTTGTTTTAAGGGACGGAGAAGTAGAAGTAACCTAAACCAATCCACTGCATGCAAAACGTACTAAATAAAATTCAAGATTTAACAGTCCCCAAAGAACTGGATGCAAAATAATTATGCGTAGTTACATGTATCCTCAGTGACTTAAACAGAAATATGTTTTTGGCACTTCCAGGTGTTAAAAGCTTATTTTATCCTTCTTACCCACAAGAAATCGTGGCACAACTAATTTAGTAAGACTGTTTAAGTATATACTATTTTAAGCTATCATTTTCAATAGCAGTTTAGTAATTAGTGAGAATATTACCATGTACCTTGTTCTTTGAGTCCCCGATATTTTATTACGCCGTGAGCTTAGCGCTTATGGCGCTTGCGACAGTGGCAAAATATTGGGGCCTCACAAATAACAAGGTACATATGTTGCAATCCCTCTAATAAAAACAACGTAAATAAGTCATCTCACTAATTACTATGAGACTATTTTGATTGTACTGTAAAAAAGTTAGGCATAAGAGCAGCAGGTAAATTTTTTAACATTTTTGTGCTATTAAATTGAAGTTAGAAAAAAATATGTTTAATGTCGTAATTAAAGAAGTAAGTTGGCTTGTATCTTTATTGCACGTGTGAATTATGCTCTAATGACAGCTGGCACAACGCCAGAAATAAATTCTCATCTAGTGGCATTAAAACCGTAATTATGGCATTTTCTTTTAAGTTTGATTATAAATTTTACTGTTTATCGTATGCAACTCTTTTATGTAATTGTAATTCTTATTTGTAATTTCTTATTCAGTTTTTTATATCATTATTGTTGATATGGTAGCCAAACACACACGGTCCGCGTGCTGACAGATGGTTAACGTGCCGTAGGCTTTGGACGCCTGGATACTAAAAAAAGTACGTACCTTTATTGAATTCAATTCAACTGATTCGGAATCGATATCAATAAAAATTCTTATGCCCGATTAATTTTAATTCTAAATCAACAATTATCAAAATCTCGAGAAGCGCGCCATCGGGCGCGAGTGGTTAGCGCGTTCGGCTTCGATCGTTGGAGTTAAGCAACTTTGGCAGTGGTCGGTCATTGAATGGGTGACCAAAAATTTATTATCTCGAGCTCCTTCGTGCTTCGAAAGGCACGTTAAGCCGTTAGCACCCACAAATCCGCACTGGGCCCGCGTGGTGGGTCATGGCCCAACCTCCCTATTCCATCCATAGGGAAGGCCTGCGCCGCAGCAGTGGGGCTTTAATAGGCTGATGATGAAGATGAAGAATTATCAAAAATAAAGTAATTCCTTAAAAAAGTCTTGGAGAACGAGAACTCAGCCACGGATAATATAATAAATATATTTTATTATTTACATAAAATTATTCAGGTACTAGATTATCATTTTGTGTTTTTTTAATATAAGGTCTTCTAGATGCATGCTCATGATCATTTCTCTTTTTTATGACTACATTTTCAATGGTAATTATAGAACAACGGCATCCTTCACACCATTTGACGCAACGCCATACTGCCCTGCTTCCTTTGCTGATGCTTTGGTTGAATCTGTTATTATCCATCACAATAACTGGTCTTCCACGTCGCGACGTACTGAAAATCGGTCCTGAGAACAAAATATAAATTTTACTTTAAATTAACATCGATGAATGACGAAGCTATTCATGTTCTGCTGGAAGGCAACGGAGTGGCTGACTACTACGCCAAATACCTCGGCTCATCGGGCGACCTCCAGGAGACTTTAAATTTACATTGTTGAATGATGAAGCTGTTCATATTCTGCTGGAATGCAACGGAGTGGCTGAATACTATGCCAAATACCTCGGTTCATCGGGCGACCTCCAGGAAACTTTAAATTTACATTGCTGAATGACGAAGCTGTTCATATTCTGCTGAAAGGCAACTTGGTGGCTGAATACTATGCCAAATACCTCGGCTCATCGGGCGACCTACAGGAGACAATCACCAATGGGAAGGTTCCTGGCGAAGCTGGGCTGGCTGGAATAAATGATAAAGACTCTCGAGTTACCGACACCTCCGAAGCTAAAAACAAGAAGAAGATGATGATATATATATCTGGGACCACCGCTTTTACTTTTTTTCGAAGCATGAATTAATTCGACGTATAAATAACCATTTAGGTAATGGATTTTTGCTTTGCATTTATCATTGGTAATTTATCAGGTTTGTTCTTTGGCTTTATGCATAATATGGTCATTTTTCACTTTTGTGATAATATATTCTATACTTAGTCATCTTAAAAATGCGGCACCCGTCATACCATTTGGCCTACCTCTGATTATTTATCATAATAACCAGTTTTTTTTATGGTAAAATGCAATGACCTGTCAAAGCTGCTTGAATTCCGGAAAAGTAGGCCGAACGAGCGTGCTTGCTTATCATTGTGCTATCGAGCTTTTTCCATTGTTTTTTTTATAAACAAATGAAAAATGTTATTAAATAAAGTAGACCTCAAACTGTTATTTATTTACTTAATTAATAAAAAATCGGAAATAAATTATTCATGATAAAAAAAAACATTTAAAGCTCAGTTGCTTTTACAATTGTAAGAAACTCAACCGAATTCATAATATTCACTCATTCTTTAACAGATCGATGCACGAAAGTGGCCACGAACATTAAAAAGTTTATGGTAAAGTTATTAGCTTGATCTAATTAGCCTATCATTAATACGATAAATTAATATGCAACTTGAATGCATGATACCAAGATTTCTGTTTTATAAGATTTTATACGATACGAGTCCCGTCTGGTGCCTAGTCTCCGTGGAATTTTTTATATTAAATTTGTCTTTATATTTTCTTTTTTTCATCTTTACATGTGTATGCTCATTTTTCACTGCATCGATGGCTTTGTTACTGGTGATCACAGTACAACGGGACCCACCACGCCATTTGACGACCATGACGACCTCCGTGGCCGAGTGGTTTGTACGCCGGGTTTCATGGTGTCGCCGACTCGAGAGGTCCCGGGTTCGAATCCCGGTGGGGGCAGATGTTTGTGTGATGAATACGTGCATTTGTACTCCAGTCATGGATGTTTAATATGTATTTCTAAATAAATATACTTATATATGTACATTATATGTATTATATCCGTTACCCTAGTATCCCATAACACAAGCCTTATAGTGCTTACTTTGGGGCTAGGCTAATTGATGTGTGTGTTGGAAATATTTATTTATTTATTTGACGCAACGCCACACCACTCTGCTTCCTTTGTAACTGTACTGGTTAAACCTCTGATTATCTAGCAGAATAACTGGCCTTCCCCACCGGGATTTACTGAAAACTGCTTCTGGAGACAAAATACTATTTATATTTGTTTTGGTATATATTTTTTTTTCTAACTCTTATATTTGATTTTGATTTACCTATTATATAAAAAAAACTATACTGAATCACGTCATCTTTAATGTTGAAAGAAAAAATAAAATAGGATATTATCGTCAATCATGTGTATAAATTAAAAATTATGAAGTAAGTACTGCAGTCGCATCGACATCAGTCCAAGATTTTCAAAAAATCAACGTCAGATTCTTAGTTCAATGTTGGTGAACGTCACGATTACTTATGATGACATCATCGACAGTGGTGACGGTGCTTCGACACCCTTCACACCACTTAACACAATGATAAGTGGCCTTCCCACAGCTGGTGCGGTGCAAATTATATCGGTAGCCATTCATCAAAATCACTGGTCTTCCAAATCTGGACGTGGTGAAGATAGGGCCTGAAATTAATATAAGGCAATTCTTGAATTACTATTCCAAACACGTAACGTAGTTTAAAATCGTCAGTACAGAGAATGGTAAATGATTTATTTTAAAATATTTAAAGATGTTTATAAATATATGTATAATGATATAAATAACTCACATAACTTTTATCATCAGATCGGATTTATTTTCCTTCAAATGTAAATCTAAATGAATTTATTTATGACGAGGACGTTAAAATATCGTCCTTGCTGTAGGATAGACAGTCTATTTCTTGCAAATGAAGAGTTCAGTAGAAAAAACACAAATAAGTAATATTAGGTTTTTTTTCCAGCATTTATTGAAATCATAATTGCTTCAAGTTATAAAGTTAGTAATACTCATTACACCCGATTATTCATTTCAATGGTGTGTGTGGACGTTTCTGATTTTAACAATGATGTCTTCAACAGTCGTAATAGAGGCGCGACATCCTAAACACCATTTTACACACACGAAGTAACCTCTACCGGGTCGACTGCAGCTGTGTTGGTTGAACCGGTGACCATCTAAGACAATAACTGGCTTCCCGGAACTTGTCATAGAGAAAACAATATCTGAAAACGTGAATATAAACTTTTTCATAACAACTGAAGCCCGGTTGCTGGTCAACAATGGTTCTCAACTATCAAAACATGTTTCAAGATGAGGGCTAAAATCAGTAAAGAAATAGCTAGGTTGTAATTAGCACCACACTACCTGTTTTAAGAATTATCGTTATCTTTCAGGTTGATAACATTTTTTCATTTAAGTCAAGGATTATAAAAGGAAATAGTAAATTAAAACACTATTAAAACTCACATCCACTTTTATTTCTGAGTATGACAACTACAGTAGTTTGATATTATGTTATCAGTAGGAAATACTTATTTTTTTAGTAAAAACTTAACCTTGTCAATAGCTACCTAATTTATTTCATATCTCCCTAATGTAACAAAAAAATGTAAGAATACTATTAAAAAAAAGTAAGATTTTCGAAATTGATAGAAAATTATATGTACCAAATCAACTTAAAAAACTATTATGTACAGTTTCATCCCCTTTAAGTATAAGACAATAAGAGGCCTTATGTCCTTTTCATTGAATTACTTTTTTTTGTACCATAATTAACTGAATTGATTCAGCGATTTAAACGAGAAAAGTAACAGGCAGAGTTATACGGACATTAGAATATTAGTGTAGTATGTTAATTAACATTTACTCAACTTTTCCTCCTACTTCGTACGCGTATACTTTTGACTTCAAAATATATTAGACCTAGAGAACCTTTTTCGGGGTAAAGATTCCATACAATCTTGGCAAGGATTAGTTCACAGTCTAGTGGATGTATTCATCGTCTTGCAGTGCCTTTTTTTACCCTGTCTCAGTTCGGATGATAAATTATATGTGGAACAAAAAGCATTTTTGTGTATCAAATATCATCGAGAAGCACAAAACTTTCACATGTATACTATTTTAACTGTAACGTGAAAGTTTTATTCCTTCCAAATAAAAAGTAGAAAAGACTCTCCTGCACAAACGTGCATGAGCAAAACATCAACTCGATAGCAAGATAGCTACCTACAAGAGTCATCTGTCTAATTATAACTATATCTAATTTCTTACAATACAAAATCGTCAAACAATTATTACTTTACAAATTATGAATCATAATAAATATCATAAGCACAGAGACAAGATCCAGGAAAAGTATATCCCAATTATAGAGTTTAAGTTTCATTTCTACTACACGAAAATTGTATGTATGCTGAGTTTATAGGTGATTCGGTTATTTTAGAATTTTCACAGAATACAGAATTTCAAAAATGAGGTTCGTCATAAGACTGAACAATTAATTTTAGTGTAAAAGTAACTTTCATGGATTCGTCAGAAACGCCAAGTTTAGATTTGACCACACTTTCATTTGGCAATGACACTAATATCCCATTAGTGGTTGTGCCTGTTCTTCAACATGATGACCACGTTATTTTCGGTGACCATTGTACATCTGCAGCTCATACCCCACTTGCTGCATCTCCAGTAGCCCTTACCCTCCTTGGTTCGACTCAGGAAAAACCTATAATCTCCAACTGCGATATTTGTTTTACCACTTTTGGATGTAGTGAAAGTAGGCCGCAATTTTGCGACGGCTGTAAATTAAAAATAAGATGGTGTTGGAGCTGTTGATACTCATATATATACACGAGTAGAAGGTAAACAGAACAAACAGGCAGCATTATAATATAGTAATTACGTACAAACAAAGCGTTTTACGAGTTAAAGGGTCTTGGCAGATAGACGGATAAGCTAAAACAATATTATTTTACATTAACTTAAAAGTTTGATTTTTCACAGCTTCAAATGATCGTAGATCTTAATATATATGGTTTACATTTTGAACTTAATACTTCCACGTGTTCTCGAGATAAAGGGTATTGATTGTCCGATGGATAATCAAGTGATCCTATAAAGTTCCGTTTTCTTCTTTTGAGATTCCGTACCTCAAAAATAATTATTAAAGTTTGTGTTAAAACACTTTCAATTAATGCAAATATAGAATGGCAAACACATAGTTATGAAATAAAAAAAAATGCAGAAATTTCTTGTTATTTTAATAGTGTTTAATAACTTTACGATTGCTTAACAAAGAAAATCTGGAAGGATATGGTGGATCTCGCTTTTGTAGATTATTATATTTTAATTTTAAGGATTTAACTGCTAGATGTATTTTATTTTAAGATCAACGGTGCTAATCTGTAAGAACAAAGTCACTTCTAGTAGTAAAATGTTTAAAATAAATATAATAAACTACAAACTCACTTTTCACTTCGGAGTAAGCGGTATGGTTTAAAATTAGAACACGAATTTCAGATTAATTACAAATCATATTGGCGCAGAGTTTGTGAGAAAGTGAGTTTGTTCTTACAGAATAGCACTGCAGAGTTAACAATTAATCCTAGTTTTGCTTGCTGTTTATCAATCGCCGTCGTACAGAATTTGTCATTTCTTTTGATTTAAGTATAAAATTCTATCATTTCAATGCACAAAATAATAAAAATTGTATTAGTATTTTGTCTTCCAAATGTTTAGTATTTGTTCAAGTATCTCGTTTGAAATGGTGGTAACTTATAAACCTATAATTTGAATAAATGGCAGTCTTATAAATCCGAGTAAACATTCGTTATGTCTATTGTAGTATTCACCTGTGGCAAGTCAATTCTTTAGATAACAACTTTGAATTATCAAAATGTGACTCGATTAAATTACAAGTAAGAACTGGAAACATTTTTTATGTGCGTATGTATAGATCGATCTAGAATAATCGCATCATCAAGAGTCACGAGTGAAGCTCTACACCCTCTGGACCACTTGGTGCATCTCCAAGTTTTCTTATAGCCGCTAGCTATCTTCAAGCTGTACCGCTCGCCACCAAAAATCATGATAGTTTTACCCTTTCTTGAAATATCATAGTATGGATCTGAATGGAAAGTAAAAAAAAAAAACAAAAGTAAATCAAATGTAAGCCTTGGCTTTGTTACAAATAAAAACTGTTACATCCCGATATTATATGCCTATTAATAACGGAAGGACACTCCGAGATATGTTGATTCAAATTACTCCAGAAAAATCGACCCACATATTAATA